ACTACTTCAAATTCTTTACTGTAATAAGCATCTAGTTCTTTATTATTTTAAACAGCGCTACTGAGTATCTGCAGACATTTTTGTGGACTTATTCAGTTTTTGCTTAAGAATAAATCTCTAGAAGTCAAATGGTTCTGTGAATGATCTATTTCCTTTCATTGGTTGAATCATAAGTCATGGTAGGAAAATACATAAAATCTTCTTAAAAGAAAATGAAGTTTATAAATTGTACTTATTTGTATTTGTTTTTCCCCATTAGGAAGTAATTTCTATAAGAATGGGAGCTTTGTCTGTCTTGATTATCACCCTCCCCAATATTAAGGCACTTAATATGTATTTATTGCTACAACAATAATAGCAAGCATTTATTATGTGCTTGGCACTGTCCTACGGACATTAATCCAGTTATTCCTGGCAGCAGCCTTCATGATGCAAGAGATATGATTATTAAGGCACAGACAAGCTAGGTACCTGTTCTGTTTGACAAAGCTGGTAAATTGTAGAGCAAGGAATCAGGCAGGTTCCTTTAGTTTTCAAGCAGCCACCATATTCTACTGGTTCTCTCTTGAGTGAACAGCCAGTACATTTTCAACTAGCTTTTTTTTTCTTTTTAGCTGAAAATTAGAGGAAATGGACTGCCTGTTTTCTAAGAGTCAAGTTGGTTTCATGGTCCTCTGACCTAGCCTTGTACTTCATTACCTAATGATCCTGCTCCTAGAATTAATATCTATCTAGATACAAACTATAAATCATTTTACCTGAAGAATTTATGGAGATATAAACAGTTTGTTTTCTATTATCAATAAAATAGTAAATCTGGGCCTGCAGCTAGAACCTGGAGGCAAAACTTTTATTCTTTTTCAGGCACGTTCTCTGCTTGCTTGCTCACCCAGCCCAATATGGGCTCTTTGAACTCTGCTGTTCTCTTTAACTGGCAGGTTCATTGTCCACCTCATCTAGTGGGGACTATAAATGTCCCTTTAAGTTCCTGTTCAAATAGCCACTGCTTCTATTCCTTATTCTGCTCTTAAAGTTTCCTTAGTGTCTCAGATACTCTCATTCCTTTTTTGTCATGATCTTATATGGATACTTCTTTCTAAACATACCTCATTATTACTATTAATTTTTGGTGTTTCTAGGATTGGAAATCAGGGCCTATGATTGCTAAGAATGCACTCTACCACTAAAACCATATTCTAGTCTTTTTCTCTTTTGTTATATTTGAATAGGATCTTGTGTTTTGCTAAGGCCAGCCTGAACTGAAATCCTCTTGCTTTCTGCTTAGCTAAGATGAAAAGCACATACCTAGCTTTTTGGGTATGTGTATGTGACAGCCCTGAGGCTTGAACTCAGGGCCTACGTACTATCCATGAGCCTTTTTGCTCAAGGTTAGCACTCTACTGCTTGAGCCACAGTTGTATTTTCAGCTGTTTGGTTGTTAATTGGAGATAAGGTCTCCTTGACTTTTCTACACCATCTGGCTTCAAACAGTGATCCTCAGATCCCAGCCTTCTAAGTATTAGGATTACATATGTTAGCTACAGGTGCTTGTCAGTCTAGCATTTCTCATTGGTTGAGAAGGGCTCTCATGAATATCAGGCTGGCTGGATCTGATCTCTACCTCCCAAGTATCTAGGATTATAGGTTTGACCTACCAATGTCTGGTTCATTATGCCGTGTATTAAAGTTGCAACATTCTCATCTTTAATAAACAATGTTCTCTTTTATTCATGTTAAACAAGCCTAGTATGTCTCATGATCTTTTCTATACAACATGAAATTAAGTGCTTTTAATTATCTCAGTAGTTTCAATATTTTAAAGTCTAAAAGTTGAAATACATATATGTATATATGTACCACATTTTCAGGAATTACAAAGTAACAAATGAGATGGTGGTGTTACACATTATTTTTTTCATATTACCATTTGCATTCTGGCTTTTTTAGGCTTCAATACATACGAATCATAATTAGTTTTTACTTCTACAATGAAAAGGTGTTCTTTTCATGGATACAATTATCAACCTTGCTTTTACTCACACAGAACTTTAGTTCTCTTTTCTTTACGTGAGTGGTTTACAAATATCAAAGGTAATAAAATTAATCAGATAAGTGGAATTTTTTCCCAAAGACTAGTGCTTAAGGGTATGTTCATGTCAGAGAATTTTGATATTAAACTTGCTTTCAAGTGTTTGTATAATTCAAATCTCCTTGTCTACTGGAATAGAGACTGTCCTTGACTCTCATTCTGAAGAAATAATAAAATAGAATCTTTTCTTCCTATGTATATTTTGAGAAAAGAACTTCAAGGAATTTTAAGTACTGTTATTTGATAGGATTATATTTAGTTTTATGAAGTGAATCTTCAGGTCCTTTTCACTTCACCTTAAAGGAACCTTTTCTTTTCCCCATGCAATAAGGACAAAGTAGGCTTGATGCTGAAAGTGCTAACAGCAAGCCAAAGAGAAAGTTCAAACAAATACTAGTCTTCAAAAATGTCATTACTTATGCAAATGATCGTTGATCCTTGGGTGCTGGTGGGCCTGAAGCATCTCCAAATTGACTGAGTATTAAATGATGTTTTATTTGTATTGAGGGTATAGCATGATTCTTTTCTTCTGGACAGTGCTGGCCATGAAGACTAGTGGCCATGAAGGTTAGTTTGGATCTTTTTGCTTGTTCAGGTTCTTGGCATTTTGCTTACTTTATTCATTTTCCTCTTTCTTTCTTTCTTTCTTTCTTTCTTTCTTTCTTTCTTTCTTTCTTTCTTTCTTTCTTCTCTTTCTTCTCTTTCTTCTCCTTCCTTTCTTTGCCTCCTTCCTCCCTTGCTTCCTTGCTTCCTCCTTTTTCCTTCAACTGTATTTCCTTCCTTCCTTCCTTCCTTCCTTCCTTCCTTCCTTCCTTCCTTCCTTCCTTCCACCCTCTCTCCCCCCCCTCCCTCACCTCTCTCTCTCCCTTTCCATCTCCCTCTCCCTCTCCCTCTATCTGGCAAACTGATGTGACATTCTTTGAGCTGTATTTATAATTATTAATTGAACTAAAACTTTAAGAAATCCATTTCTTTGGGAAGTATATCCTTGTGAGTGAGGTACTTTAAATGCCTTCTTATTACAATATGCAGACTTGGGACACAATCTGAAATGTGTTCCCAATGGTGAAGTCAGAGTATGTTACAATTTTAGTCCTGTTGAGTCCTCTTTCCTAAAAATGCTCTGGTGTCAATGCTAGCTCTCTATGAGGCAAAGAGAAATTCTCCTTAGGATCAACTGATGAGGAGCAAACAGGAGAAAAGGCATACTAACATATTAGCTTGCTAATTGGGGGGGGGGGAACCACAAGCCTAGAAATGGTGAGACGCTTACATGGCCTTTTTCTTTTTTTCTGGAGGTGGGGTGGAGTGGAGAATGTACATTGTAAATGATTATTAGAGGAACAGAGAGTCCCGGAAGCAGTCTGGTATTCTGTTGAGCTCCAGGAAATAGACCTTATCTTGTCCCCAGGTTCATTGCAGTGTGGCTGCATTCCTCAGTCTTGGCTGAGATAGAGTAGAGTTGCACAGTGGGTGCAAACGCACTGGTGTTTCCTTTGGCAGGCTGGTATTTATGGAAGAAAGATGATTCCTAAAGGGCTTTCCATATGCTGGTGAGAAAAGGAGTAAGAAAACCTAAGAGGACCTTAATTCTAATCCTGCTGTTAAGACTTTTCAATTTTCTTTAGAATTTTCTTTACTACTCATGTAAAAAACCAGCCACATTTGGAGGACTACGTTAGATATTTAAATAGGGGTTTGCTTCTCATAGATCATGTTAGCTGTGGAGTTTTGGCTCCTTTTAAAATAATTCCGAGAACTTGGGCAATGACTTCTGTGCCAATGTCTTCCACTCCTGGCCAGGGCTATGTTTCTCTGCTGATCTGTAGCTCTGTGCTGCATATATATATATATATATATATATATATATATATATATATATATATATATATATATGAACAATCCTTTGTGGTTCTGTTCTTTTTCTCATTATTGGTGCATCCATCCAAGTGCTTTGTCTGCCTCTCTCTTTTTTTTCTCTTCTTAATCCTTTGTGCTTTTAACACTGTCATTTGTGGGGATAACTTTGTTTACATCGAACAGCTGCGTTAAGCACATTTTTGGTGAGAGGAGAGAGTAATAGAGGAAGTAAGAATAAATCCGGGCCAGTGGGGTGGAGGTGAAGGGAAAACAGAAGAAATAGGGGGTGGGGGGAAGAGAAAAAAAAAAAGCAAAACAAAAAAATAAAGAAGTAATAGCAACAAACCCAGGACTTGAGTGCTAGGGAAGAAGAGCAAGCAAAGGCAGAAGAGGAGCTGTGCTTTGGGAGGGGGGTGAGGTGGTGAAATTTGGTGGTGAGGTGAGGGGGGGGGCGGGGGTTGGGGGGAGTGGGGAGAGGGGAGATCTACAGACCAGCATTTTCCCCAGGCTTGGGCGCAAGCTTGTGAAACTACTAAGGTATTACCGAACCTCAGCGGGGATTTGCTGAGGACAAATGCTGTAATGTGTTAGTCATCCATTATCTGCTTCTATTTTTGCAGGTTCTGATGATGACTGACGCGGGTTTGGGTGATAGCCCTCGCAGTCCCTGTCACTGGGGACTGATAAACAACCCGAACGCCTAGCCTTAGCGCCCCTCCACCCACACCCCACACCGGGCATCGAAGCCGCTCCGCGGGGCAGAAAGCTCTCCGGGACCCGGGACGAAAGTGCTGCCCTCCTCTCCCCATACCGGGGTCTCCGTGGCGTGCAGATCTCGACCCCCTGACGCCTCGCCTGCCCCGTGGGTGCAGCCGTCCGTGCTGTATGTAGTAGCCGCCGGAGGTGACCACCGCCAGGACCCACCAAGTCCCCAGGGCCATGAAGTAGCTGCTGCTTCGCCGCGCCGCTGCCCCACCGCCCCGGCCCCGCCGCTCTGCTGCCCGCTGCAATCCCCGCGGGGCCCGCGGCAGGCGCGGACAGGGACCTGGACATGGCTGGCCGCGCGCGCAGCCTGCTGCTGGCGCTCCTCCTGGCCCTGCAGAGCAGCTGTTCGGGATTCAGAAGCCCACTTTCTGTCTTCAAGAGGTGGGTGTTGCTTTGTTTTTGTTTTTGTTTGGCTTGAAAGCAGCAACATAGGGTCTCCCCCGCGCATGCTGTTGAGCAAGGCGATCACTTGGAGCAACCAGGGGTGTTGTGGACAGAGGCACAGGCTTGCTTTTCCTCTACCTGAAACGACTTGGGACTTGAATACTGTAACTTCTTGGAAGAGTCCCCTCCTCCAGAACAAGCCGAGCTGCTATCCTGGCTTTCAAAACTCCAATTAGAAGTTGTGATTTCCAATACTAATCACTTCCTCTTGGGGAGAGGTTTCAGAAACTACAGTATCTTCCTGTAGACTTGAATGCCTTCCTGTTTATAACAGCTGGGAAAGAAAGTATCCAGGCAGATTTGTGGCGAGGAGAAGCAGATCACAGACTGTAATAGCTCACTAGGGAAGAGTGAGCCGTACACACCCGCCTCATCATTACAAATATTAAATATTTATGCCCTTGTACATTGGTAATTCACATGGCAGTCTTTTATTTCCTTCGCACAGAACGCTGCCTCCTAGCAAGACGATGGTTAATTTCGCGTTTCTGGCTAGGAATGTTGGACGCTTGAAATAGTTACCAAAATTTTACTACGTTTTGGTTAGTATTTCTGCTATTTAGAAAAATTGCATGCATGTGATACTGATCTCTACTGTTACTACTGTGTTTTATTAACTAGAAAAGCAGATAAGAGCTAAGCTACAGACAGAGACACACAGAGATTTTTTTTTTTAATTGAATAGAGTCCAAAATGTAGCCTATTTGCTTGCTTTGTTTTTTATTTACAAATGACTATATATTGTTCATGGACTAAAAAAGAAATTCGGAGGTTGTTTTTTTTTTAATCACTATAATCAGAAATATATAGCCATGACATCTTTAGAGTTTTCATTGGTTCTCCATTTATTGTCATTAACTTTACGATCGTACATATGTTTTTCCCCTTACCATTATGTTTAAGAAAATTGAAATTTTCTTCTTTAAGGTTTAAAGAAAACACCAGATCATTTTCCAATGAATGTGTTAGCACCACTAGACCAGTGATTCCTATTGACGCATCAGATTTTGCATTGGATATTCGAATGCCCGGAGTTACACCTAAACAGGTGAGAGGAATTCTATATTTCCTTGTTCACTTATTCTGCACACAATCTATAATTAAATCAGGAAATGACATTGACAACAGGAGCAACTTCCTTAAAGTAGCCATTTGCTTCCAAATTCCTCAGATAGAGCTAGCAAAATTTGACTAGCAGAAAAGAAAAATAAGTGTTTCAAGCCAAAACTTCCAAATACATTTTGTTTCCAAAATTTTACTCATGTTATTAGTTGTGGTTTGAAATGGAACCTTGGTAATGTACATTTTGAAACTGACTTGGGAAGATTAGGCACAGCATCACTACAACATGGGAACATGCATTCCAATATGAACAATTAGTCTAATAAGGAGAAATGACATAGAGTAGCCACAATAATCTTAGAGATTATTGTGCTTTAATTCCTTTCTACAAGTGAAGAAATAAAATGTTTTCTGCAAAGAATTTGAAAAACAAAACACTCCATATTTAAAAGTTAGGAAAACTGTTCGTACAGGTGGCTGCGGATGAATATTTTTTTTTAGCTCAACTTGCTTGGTAGAGATGTTTTTTTGAAGAAATAAGAGCTCATATGAATGTATCCTCCAGAGTAGAACTGGGTTGTGAAGACCTTCTCTATTTTAGGTATACACATGGAGCTTAGACCCTCTGCTGTCATGTGTGCATGATGTTTCATTAAGCGTAAAAAGACCAGAATTAATTATGCTTTGCAGCCAGGCATTGCAAGGTTTTGTGTATGTCATTAAAAGATAGCCCTTTTCTTTTGAAAGGCTGCAGAGACAGGGAAGGACCTGGGTGTTATACAGCTGCAGTGGCTAGTGACTCATTGTTGCAGATAACATTCTATTTTTCTTTTAGCCCTGGGAAAATAAAAGTAGTCTACTTACTGGGAATTTTTATTTTTCAAAACTGGCATGCAGAAGATCTAGAAAATGCACACGGGTCTTTTCCCTTGGGGGTAAGAACTGACATTTATTCGAAGACTAGTATATTATTTAATTTTCTATAACTACTTTATCACTGTAAGAATGACCCTTGTACTCCTTCTCACTCAATGACCATGCATATGATTTTTCTGTGTGTCCAAATGTGACTGTCCTGATCTTATTTCTGTAACTCCAGGTATAGTATTTAGCCAAAAGGAAGGCGATGAGATTCAGATAAGTAGAGGAATGACTGCTCTTCAGTTGTACCACCCCTTGTCTCAATTCACTATTAAGGTTAATTTTTCTCCTGTTTTTGCTTAATCATAGTTTAGATAACTTCTTTAAAAATATTCACTAATTCTTTGTTTTGCATACCTTTTCCCACAAAAATATCCTTGCTTTAATTAAATTGTCATTTGTTGTTGTTCACTATTATTTTTCTTTTTCTTCGTATTGTTAAAGAGTAATGCCATTTCCTTTATTTAATAATAATAACAAAAGTTATTAGAAAACGTGATTTAAGAAAGCTTTTTTTAATAAAGTAGTTATTTTTAAAAAATCTTACATTTTTTATAACTGTATAGTATAAAATTATCTTTAGAAATGTAGTTTTGACAGCTCTTATAATCAGATCATAGGTACAACACATCCTGGGAGCTAAAGGGGATCAGGATGCTAAAATATAATATAGCATAAATATAAATATAATATGATAATTCCACTTCATACTTTGACACTTCAAGTTTTATCATTTGTATAGCTAATTTGTTTGATTTTCACATAAATTAAGAAGACTTCTTTATGCCAGAAAAAAAATCTTATAATTATCCAAATTACATGAAAAAGGGCATGTATTATTTTAAATATTTCCTTTTGTTTTTCACTTTCTTTATTCAACTTGCAATGGACATTTGCTGAATGTCATTTCAGAGAATAAGGTAATGTCCTTTTTGCTCCTTCCATGAATGCATATGGTTCCTAGGAGCTGTCTACCCAGGACCTAAAGGGACTAAATGTGTAAGATTTAGCAAACAATTGGGTCTCCTTTCCGTTTCCACAATGATTGGATTCAGAAGTTGTGTGACCTACACCAATCGGATCAAATTTTAGGATTTTTGCTTGGAATATGTTTTTATATTACAAGTGAATGATGAGCTTGTAGTCCCAGCATCTGCAGAGTTCATGAAATAGCCATGCTTAGAATAATACTAGTACCAAGAAGATGATACAGAGACAGAAAGAATATAAGTTCTTGGTGACATCATGTCAGACTCGTAATTCAAGGAAGTTGTGTTGGGTTTTTGTCTTGCTTGCAATTAAGACTGACTAACTGAGCAAGTTAGTGGTTTAGTTGTTTAGAACTTATGGTTGAATATTTATTCCACATTCTCTCAACACTTTTGATTGACCATGTGTTATGAGAACTTGGTTTGATCTGACTGACCCACTAATCATAGTCCTTGTAAACTTTCATGTCAAATGATTGACTCCTTGTTGTATATGTCCAGAAAAGATGAACACAGAATTCCTGGGGCTTCTTTTCTCCTGTACTTAGTGTTCCTAGTGGGTGGAGCAAGAGTTGTGGTATTATGAGTACTTTTACTAAAAAAAAAAAAAAAAAATAGTCTTTTTCTAAATTGTAGATAAAGCTTGTACTATTCCAAGTATCAAGTACTTAAGGGGAAAGTGGATAAAAAGGCAAGAAAGAATAAATATGTTCAAAGTTTTAGAGGAAAGAAACTAAAGGTTAAAGAAAAAACGAGCTGACCAAGTCCAAGAAAATAAAGTGACCAAAGCCAGAAATAACAAGACCATATGCGATTTCTATTTATAACTTTTATTTTGGGGGGGGTCCGGTCATGGGGCCTGAACTCTGGGTCTGGGCGCTGTCTCTCAGCTCTTCAGCTCAAGGCTAGCGCTCTACCACTTGAGCCACAGCACCACTTCCGGCTTTTTTTTTTCTGCTTATGTGGTGCTGAGGAATCGAACCCAGGGCCTCATGCATGCAAGGCAAGCGCTCTACCATTGAGCCACCTTCCCAGCCCTCTATTTATAACTTTTTGAGTAACCTCCATACTGATTTTGATACTGACAACACCAATGTACATTTTTACTCACAGTGTGTGAGGGTTCATCTCCCTTATTCTAGCTAGTGTTTGTTGTTGTTTTATGGTAGCCATTTTGGCTTGAGTGAAATGGAATCATGGCAGGGTATTGATTTGCATTTTGCTAAGAATGTTGAATACTCTTTTATGTGATTATTGATCATTTGTATATCTTCTTTTTAAAAACTACTTATTTGACCATTTATTAATTGAATTTTTGCTCCTTTTGTCCTTAATTGTTCGAGCTCTTTAGATATTCTAAGTATTAATCCCTTGTCAGATCAATAGCTGGCAAAGATTTTCTTCTACTCTGTAGGCGTTCTCTTTAACACTGATAAATGTCTCCTATGTAAAGAATCTTGCTTGTCAATCTTGCTAGTCAATTCTTCCTCTTATTTTCCAAGCCACTGAAATCCTACTCATAAAAACAGAACTACTGCATGATCCTGCTATGCTATAATATTCTTAGAGGATTGTAAAGTCAGTATACAACATACTTGTGCATCCATTTTTATAAAGGCTCCATTCAAAATAGCCAAGTTATGGAATGAGTCCACAAGCTCATCAACAGATGAGTAGATTAAAAAAACATGGAATATATACACAATGGAGTGCTATTCAGTCACAAAAAAAATAAGTATGTATGTCATTTTAGGAAGATAGAACTAGAGATCAGCATGCCAAGTGAAATCAGCTAAACTCAGAAAGACAAATGTTTCATTTTCTGTCATGGGTGGAGTTTAGTTGTAGTAAAATAAAAATACATGAATGCAACAGGGAGACTGTTTGTCAGGGGCATCAGTGACAGAGGAGGGTGATATGATTTCCTGGAGGATGGATACGATGGAAGTACTCTGTGTGTGTGTGTGTGTGTGTGTGTGTGTGTGTGTGTGTGTGAGAGAGAGAGAGAGAGAGAGAGAGAGAGAGAGAGAGAATGTGCTAATGTGGCTGGGTATTGTGGCTCATGCCAATAATCTCAACCACACAGGAGGCAGAGATAAAGAGGTTGATGATTCAAGGCCATCCTTAGCAACAAATTAGCAACCTTGATATCAACCAAAATTTTTCATGTGGTGGTGAACATCCTAATCTCAGCTACACAGAAGTAATAGGATCATGGTCCAGAATAGCCCCAGCAAAGATACATGACCCTGTCTGAACAATAATTAAACCAGAATAATTAAACCAGAAAGGTCTTGGGGCATGATTCAAGTGATAGAATATTTGTCTGGCAAGTATGAGAACCATATTACAAACACCAAAACTGAATATAATGATAATAATAATAGTAATATTAATTCAGTAATACTAACAATGAAACTCATTAAATTATTTTTAAATGGTAGAAAGGAGGACAGGGAAATCTAATAGAAGTATTTTGATCAAAGTGCATTATATGTAAAAGGACATAATACAATGAAGCCCCCTTAAACACTTATGTTAATAAAAGTTACATTACTTGTTTATATAATTAATATACACTAATAAAAATAATTTTTGCTGGACATTGATGGCTCATGGCTATAAGCCTACCTTCTTAGAAAGCTGAGATCTGAGGATTGAAATCCACAAGACTCTTATCTCCAATTAACCAGCAAAAAAGTTGGAAGTGGAATGGTAGCTCAAGTGGTAGAATTCTAGTCTTGAGCAAAGAAATCTCAAAGCACTCAGGCACTGAATTCAAACTCTTGGACTAGCACACAAATTATAATTTATCATCATCATCGTCATAGGAAAAAAAGAACAAAATGCGTAGAAACAAGGAATTGTTTGGAAACAACTCAGAAGATGAAGAATATATTTTTTAAATCATGAGGAAACATAAAATTATGGAAAATTCAAAAGCTACAAAAGATTGAAAGTTAATTTCAAAGTATGTAAATCACACTACATATATATATATATTTTTTCTTTTTGGTCTGTTATGGGGCTTGAACTCTGGGTCTGGGCACTGTCCCTGAGATCTTCAGCTCAAGGT